TCTAGAGATGCACTTATTTTATATAGGACAGATACGTGCCTGACAGTGTATATATGTGCTGCAAGTTGAAAGGCCTTGGGAAGCATAGTAGTGATTTAAGGTGTTTACCAATGATACGAGGTCCGATTCAGTCTGTTAAACTGTTTGGAAATCCTTCATCCACTTACTGGGCCAGGCTTGGGTTAGGCTAGGAGGGCTAGGAAGAGGGGTTCAGGCTGTGCAGTGGCTGCCTCCCGGCTCCGAGCTCTCTGCACACAGCCACGGTCCCAGCTGGCTCTGCTCTGCGTCCCGCCTGTCAAGAAACGCAGTAGCTGAAATGTGGCTGTATCCCTTTTCCCGTAAGGAGACGGCTGTGGTCCCAGCAGCGTGTCCCAGTGCCGGGCAACGCGTGGGTACAGGAGAGGCAGCGCTCAGCTGTCTGCTGGCATGGCCCAAAGCTGTGCCTTGCCTTCTCTAGGGAAATGACTGCATGGAAGTGTCTCTTGGAACCTTTTTTTAGATATGTAAAATGTCAGCCCATCTCCTTCCCAAGCTTGGTAACATTTATGAATCATACAGCTGTCAGAAGCTGGGATATGCAGCTGTCCTTCCTGGAAAAGGAAGGAAAAAGACTTCTTGAAGCACGCGGGGCTGCGACCCAACTGCATCAGAGGAGATGGGACTGCAGCGTAAGCTAGAGCAGGGAGCAGTGCTCGTCCTGCCTCCACGCTGGGCCTCTTGGGTCGCAGCTCACGCGTGGAAACGTGGGTGTGAGGGGAAGGAGCACGTGGGAGGCACAGTGACCGAGCAGCCTCCGCTGCCGTCGCAGCCGCGGCTTTGGCTGCCGCGGCGCCGCTGCGCACCGGTCCCTGGTCCCTCCGGAGAGGAGCAGGAGCCTGCGGAGCGGGTGTCCCCGTGGCTGTGCTGCAGTGGAGGTGGGCATGGGGCGGAGAGGCAGGTGCTGCAGCCCCTTTAGTCTCCTTGTGCTTGTAGGAATCTTTTACATGAACTGACGCCAATCCCATAGATAGTGTTTTGCTACATATTAATCCACTAGATACAGAGGTTTCTAACATTGCTCCATCTGTATTTGTTTTGAAGATAATCGATACTGTAATAAACTGAAAATGAGTAGCTTAGATTTCCAAAATAATTTAATACTCTTCTGGTGACTCTTTAAACAGGCAGAAAGATGAGGTGCTCTGATGGTCAGTGAAATGAGAAACCATTCTCTTGAGAAAGGGAATCTGAATTATTTCTGCTGTCACAGCAGGGTACATTTCTCATGGCTGGGATACATCATGACCTAACAAAGTGAAAGACTAAAAGCAGGAAGCCTTACAGTTTATTCTTATACATGTAAAGCGAGTAGACTGGGAATGAGGAAAGAAGATTGGATACCCCCAACTCCTCTTGTTGCCCTGCATTACGTGCAGAGCCATCTCTGCTTTTTCAGTAAATCTTGCTCCTGTTTGGTGAAGTTCTAGAACTAAAGTATCAAACTGAACTGAGGTTATATAGCTTTAATATTCTCCTCTTTAGTATTTTCAGTCTTTGTGTTTTATATGTATATATGCATTTTCTTAATAAGAAGAGATAACTTATTTTAGGAGTTGTATATGCTGAAGTGGAGTTTAATGCGATAAGTATGTAGGTGAAGTATTAAACTCTGTAACTTAAAAAAAAAAAAAAAAAAAGGTTGTTAAGTGTAATATCTATTACAGAATCACAAAATGAATGATGCTGGATGGGACCTTTGGAGATCATCTGGTCCAGCCTCCCTGCACATGCAGGGTCACCTGGAACACACGTTGTGCAGGATCGAGTCCAGGCGGGTTTGGAAGGTCTCCAGCAAAGGAGACCCCACAACCTCTCTGGGCAGCCTGCTCCAGGGTTCTGTCATCCTTGCTGTCAAGAAGCTTTTCTGCATATTCGCATGAAACTTCTTGTGTTTTTGTTTGTGTCCGTTGCCCCTTGTCCTGTCGCTGGCCTCCACTGAAAAGAGGCTGGTCTCATCCCCTTGACAGCCTCCCTTAAGGTATTTTTACACACTGATCGGGTCCCCTCTCAGCCTTCTCTTCTCCAGGCTGAACAGGCGCAGCTTTCTCAGCCTCTCCCCATAGGAGAGATGCTGCAGGTCCCTGATCATCTTTGTAGCCCCACGCTGGCATCTCTCCAGTAGCTCTATGTCCCTCTTGCACAGCGTAGCCCAGGCCTGGGCACACACTCCAGATCTGGCCTTCCCAGGGCTGAGTAGAGGGGCAGGATCACCTCTCTTGACTGCTGGCAACACTGCCTAATGCTCCCCCACTACCATTGGCCTTCTTGGCCGTCAGGGCGCATTGGTGGCCCATGGCCAGTCTGTAGTCCACCCGAACTCCCAGGTCCTTCTCTGCAGAGCTGCTCCCCAGCGCCTCAACCCTTCCCACCTGTACTGGTACATGGGGTTATTCCTCCCCGGGTGCAGGACCCTGCACTTGCCTTTCTTGACGCTCAGGAAGTTCCTCTCCACCATCTCTCCAGTGCCCTCTGAATGGCAGCACTGCCCTCCCACGCATCAGCTGGTCCTCTCCGTTTTGCTGAGGGTGAGCTCTGACCCTTCATCTGTGCAGCCGTGAATAAATTGAGCAGTGTCCCATGGAGGACACTGCTGGGCACTGTTCCAGCTAGACCCCACTGCTGCTGGCAGCTCGCTGAACTCTGCCCTTCTGCCAGCTCTCAATCCACCTTACTGTCCACTCATCTGACCCACACGTCCTGAGCTTGCCCGTGAGCATGGCATGGGAGAGAGTGTCAAAAGTCTTGCTGAAGCCAAGACTGCCAGCATTCACTACTCTCTCCTTATCTATCCAACCTGTCATTCCATCACAGAAGGCTATCAGACTGGTCAACCAAGGCTTGGTGAATCCATGCTGATTACTCCAATCACTTTCTTGCTCTTCACGTACCTAGAGATGGCATCCAGGGTGAACTGTTCCATCGCCTTTCCAGCGATGGAGGTGAGGCTGACTGGTCTGTAGTTGCCTGGGTCTTTCTTCCTTCTTGCCCTTTTTGGAGAGTGGTGAGACATTGCATTTCTCCTGGTCCCCATATACCTCTCCTGTTCTCCTTTCAAAGATGATGGAGAGCGACCTAGCAGTAACATCCACCAGCTCCTTCAGCACTTGTGGATGCATCCGTCAAGGCCTGTGGGTGTCAAATTTCTCTAAATGATCTCTAACCCAATCCTCCTTGCCTGAGGGAAAGTCTTCCATTCTGCAGCCTTCCTCTCATGTCTCCAGGGCCTGGGATTCCTTAGGGCTGGCCTTAGCAGTAAAGACTGAAGTTAGTCAGATGGCCTCTCACCAAGGCAAGTGAAATCCATAGGCTCTCGCCGTGAAAGTTATTCTCCTTGCTCTGTTGCTTTGTGGACATTTTATACCATGAACTGTGGAAGAAGTTTCCTTGGATGTTTCCTTATATATTCCTGCACTGCTGCCCCAGCATGCTTTTAAGTTTGGATTTAAGCCTGGTCCCTTGTGCTTGGAAGGTAATAGTTCCACTTGGAAAGTGGCAATATGTAATGTCAGGGTATAATCAAATACTGGAATTTAATATTTCTATACTGAGTGTGAAAACTCCGTGTGTGTGTGCAAATAAATGTATGACTTGTGAAAGGCATGGGAGAGTAACTTTGTGAAACTAATTTAGTATCAAAAACTGGGGCTGTCGTCTGTATAGTCTTAAAAAGTCACCTAAGGTCATCCTACAGCCATTCATTTAGCGGGTCTCTTTTGAAATGCTGGGTTAAGGTTAGGTTTGTGTCTGCACAGCAGACTGAAATGCTGCTCTGAAGCTCTGGTTTGATATGAATGCTTTTACTAGTATCAAATCTTTCTAATAGTTCCTGGTTTTCATTAAATTTGATGCTTAAAAGAAACAGTCCATATGATGCTCAGGGGTAGGCAGCTCTTTGCCAGAAGTGGGGTTCAGTGAGCTCTTTATTTTGTTAGTCAGAGTTTGGCCAATAGTAATGATGTCTGGGAAAAGGGAGGCCAGCGAAGGTTTATGTGACCCTAATTCATGTCATGGAAGTGAGGACTTTGACAGCCTTCTCTTTGTAGAGCAATGTTACAAAACCAAGATGATAAAATACGGTAGCATTAGAGTCTTAGGAACTTTTTAGGTTTTTTCTCCTCAAATTGGCACATCCTTGAGATGCTCAAAGCAGCAGCTGAATCGATGCGCTGGCAGCCTGTGGGTGATTATACTGAAGCAAATGCCCTTGTGCAGCTGCTGGCTGCCTGTGTGCTTTTTTACCCCTAATGCTTCCTGGTGTTAACTTTTCCCATGTTAACTTTCTTGGAGGCCAGCAAAAAGTGAGATTAAAAGGGAAGGTAGAAGGTTAACGTTATTCTGCTATCAGGTACCACCACTCTTGTTCAGGGTCCCTCCACCCACAAAGAAAATTAATATTAGAAGTATATAACTTAGAGGAAATGCTTTTGTTTCAAAATATATTGCACATTTTTATCTCCCAGTTTTTGTAGAAAAGCAGCAGCTCTTTACACAGGGAGAGTTCCATCTTTTACATTATTTTGTATTTTATTTTTTTATCCAAGAGAGTTTGTCCAAGTAGCTTCTTTTCCAGAAGCTCCAGATTCTTCTTCTAGACATAACCAAACCACAGGATTCTTTCTCTAATGAGTCTTCAGACCAGTGGAGTTCTGTTCTTCACCCCCGACACGTTAAAGCTGCCTTGCTGATGGGGGCCAGGGCAGGCGTCCTTGGTGCCTTGGTGCTGGGCTGCCAATGCCAATTTGGGGAGAAGCAAAACCCTGGAGTTAGGAGAGGTGCCTCCAACCAATGTCCCTGATGCTTGGGTTTTGCTGCACTGAGTATGATATGTAAAATAACCTGAATTGTAAAAATAATGTAAAATAATAGTAAAATGAAATATAAAAACAAAATGGGAAAAGTCCCTTTTTTCAGAAAGGTTCTGCCTAAAGTTAATTATATTACCGTGTTTCTTTCTTCTACAGAGTGGGAAGCCCCCAATTAAGGACATGTTCACAGATCTAAAAGATGGAAGGAAGCTTTTGGACCTTTTGGAGGGTCTGACAGGGAAATCTCTGGTAAGAGAAATATGTATGAATTGTATTCCCATCCGTTAAAAAAAAAAAAAAAAAAGCAAATATGGCATGTGATTTTTTTAAAATTGTTTTAAAACTGTTTTGCTTGTAGTATACAGTCTGACTTCTCACTGGAATTCCAATGAAAGAACACCGTTCATATTTATGGTCAAGCTGAAGTTAGTTTTTATAATCTTTCTTGAAGGTTAATATACTCTTTAGCAACTTGTGTAAAGTCAAAGGTGATGTTCTCCTACTATACATTATAAATGGTGCTTCTTTAGAGATCTAGTTCTAGATGATCTTGAGCAGTGGCTTTTAGCCAGATTCCTGTGTTTTTTTTTCTGATAAACTCATGGGTATAAGGGAAAGATCCCTTATATATATATATATATATATATCTTATATAGAGATTTTTTTTTGATAATACATGCCTACATCTAATAGCTAATACAAAAATGTATACTTCCACTGAAAAATCCTTCAAGATCTACAGAATATGAAATGGTTGAAAAAACTCTCTTTTAAGTCTTGTTTGGATTTATTAAAGTGTGTGCAGTGCTGAAGACTCCCCCGCTGCTAATGTTTGTGCTTCTTCAGTGAGACAGATTAGTCATGAAATATGTACTACGATTTGGGATTGAACTCTGGATTTTGCCACTTTTTACTTGCAATTGATTCCTTACCTTTATACTGGAACTTTCAGCCATTTACAGTTCTCCTTCTGCAAGTAGAGATTTCACTAGTACTTCTGATTATTTGAGGTCTTATTTGAAGCCCATTGAAGATAATGGGAGTCTTTCGTTTTCTGTTTTAGTTGATTACAAGGTTCCAGGCTCAGCTCCATATTCATGCAGTTAGGATGGTGTTCTGCTGCTGAAATTAAATTGTGACAACTATGGCAAATGGAGTGGCAGGTGTTTTCAAGTGTGGCAGGGCTTTTTTTTTTTTTTTTTTTTCTTTCCTGTGTAATACTAAGAGGTCAGGAAAGTCAGGAAGTGTAACTTCTTCCCAGGGCACAAAGATTTAACAGACTTTTAGTGCCAGAAAAACAAATTGCTGCATGTTCCCTATCAGAAGCCAAAAAATTTCAGCTACTTTGGCAACCACTGAAACCACTCAGATTATCCCAGGAGCTCCCACTAGGCTGTTGTCTTGCCAATATGTAATCCTGCAGATTCTAGGAGCAAAAAGGGTGAGCTTGCTTGAGAAGAACTGAAATGTGTTTTGAAATGGGCTGTGTCTTTAATTGAGGAATAGTTTTGTGAACAGTTTCCTTTTGATGTTTGATTTGAAGTTGCTTTGAGTGATCATGTTTTAGTTTTGTTCTTATTTAAAATGAAATAAAGATCTAGAGAAATCTCAGACAAAATCCCTGTTGTTTGCTGCACCAGTGATTTACCTTGATCTCTCAAGTTCATTCTGTGATTTATTTTTTCTTTTTTTCCTCCCAGCCTAAAGAAAGAGGTTCCACGAGAGTACATGCCTTAAATAACGTCAACCGAGTGCTGCAAGTCTTGCATCAGAATAACGTGAGTACGTTTTCCACAGCTCTTTGGGCTGGATTGTTTAATTTATGTGTGTATGTAAGTGAGTTCAAAGTACAGAGAATAACATGAACTTCAGTGCCTACAATGAGAATTATGTGAGATAGGTAAAAACTGTTCTCAGCTTTCACTACCTGGTGTTAAAAATCGTTGTCTGACAGTTTCGTGAAATCATAAACAACTAGAATATTGCTGCTATAACTAAGCCATGGTGTTGGTGTTTTGTGTGTGGGGTTTTTTTTTCCTGAAATTTATTTAGCTTCATAGACAAATCCGTGTAGACAGTTTCAATTTTCAAGAAACTCACTTGAAACTCTATTCTGTGTAGCTCATGAAAATGGCGGGAAAAGTAGCTTATTTCCAGTGAAAATGTGGGATTTGTGCAAAAATCTGTAAGGGCATTGGCAAGTTTTGCAGCTCTGTTTTTCATGGTGTGCTTTCCAAATCCCCTGGGATCTTTGCATCTTTCCATTAAGATCATCAGTTCTGTGTCCAGTCTCTACTATGTGTGCCTAGTTGGTAACTTAGGTAATTGATTGGAAAATATTCTTTTAGAAATAATGAGAATAATTTTATAATTCTCCCACCCCCAGTGCCTTGAAGTTAGTAGCCCTGTTGTAAAGTTTTGTTCCCTGCACAATTCCTAAGCAGCAGAGTTCTCTATAATTGGAATTTCCATTTACAAGTGCCATATCTCTAAAATAATTTAAAACTCTGGCAATGAAATGCATTAAAGTGAGCTTGTTAAATGCACAGAGACTCTGATATATTTGCATAAACTACTAATTGGTATGAAAATGCTATGTGTAAAACTGCCTTTATCCTTCCATGTTTTAACAGTGTTTCCCTCTGCCCCTTCAGTACTGTAGATATTGACTGCATTTCCTAAGGATAACTAGTGGGTCTTCCCAGCTTGAAATTGATTTATTATGTGAAAATAATAAAATGTTATCGAAGTACAATAATTTATCAATCTGTCCTTAAGTGGGCAGGATTTGGAGTTCCAGAAACGGAGTAGTGTTACTAAGTAGAAGGTTAAGATCATGTACATAGATTATACCTACTGCTTATCCACTGAGGAGCAGTTACATTCTGTTGTCAGAGAGCTTGTAGGCTGTACAGTATTTATACTTGTGAGACAGTATTTATACTTGTGAGATAATTTATAAAAGGGTGCTTAAATGTGTATTGCAAGGAACAGGCAAGGCTACAGTGTAGGCCTTTAACTGAGTAACTTTACCCATTTGATGAGCAGAATGGTTCTATTTATTAAGTTTCCACTTTTCCTGGCTTAAGCACTAAGAAAGAGAATTCCACTGGAAATGGTGCTGTATGTGCCAGTTTTCCAGGCTAAGCTCTCTTTTCTCAGTTTCCTTTGATTAGGTAAGTCTTAATAGTCCACTGGCCATCATAGCGGCTTGCTGGTTGCATGCTGCAAACTATTGGTTTAGTTTTTAATCAGTAAAATACAAAAATGGGCATTAAAAAAAAAAGTCCCAAGATGTCTATGGTTTGTACAGAGAAGTGCACTGCTTGTAATAGTAACAAGACTTGTATTAGAAACCATTGTGTTTCTCAGAAAAGCTTTGCTTTTGTTGTAGGTGGACAAAAGCTCCTGCAGTGTAATTGCTTCCTTTTTGTTCCCTTGAGCTTTAGCCCTGCTTTCTGCTCCTTGCCTTCTAGAGTGCTTTCCAGGGGGCTTGTTTAACCATAGGCATTGGGGATTCTGTGGCTCTTTTTTTGTCTGTTAAATTTGCAAGTGTTTTAATCAAGCATATACCCAGCACTTGCAAAAAGATCATAATAGTTTAATATTAATATAATTAGAATAGATTCTGGTCTAACCACTCTAGGAATTGCGAGAGCACAGTCCTCAAGTCTACAGCCTTCCTTAGCACTTTGGAGTGCAGTTGTCACTGTGGGAGTCTCTGCGACACGACTGTGATTTGGTTCTTGTAACCAAGGCACCCGTGTGGAACTGGGAAGTTGTCTAGATGCCGTCTGAAATGGGTGCTCCCCATGACTGGAAAAAAACTTGTCCACTGTTAATTTTGTTTACTGGGGGGGAAGGACAGTGCCATGTGCAGGGGGGCACCTGTGCCAGCCCCCCTTCCACAGGCACGGCTGTGACCGGGGCGCCTTGTGCCGAGGATGCTCCATGGCTCCTCCAGCTGGGAGCGGGAGCCTCTTCCTCTCTGCGTGAAGAGCAGATTCTCCGCACGCGGAGCCCGCAGGAGCCCTGAGGGAGCATCTCCCGTGCGCGCTCCAGGCTTCTCTGCCGCGGCGCTCGGTGCTTCCTGCAGGACTGCCTAGGCTCTCTGCCCGCTTGCATAGTAAAGTTTAATTTCCCTGCTGCTTCTCTTTTTCTTTTCCGTTTAATTTTATGATTTCTAGTGATCTCAGAATATCAAAGAGCTAATATGAGCTTGTTGGTATATAGAAAACTTGAAATTTTAAATTTTCCCTTGGCCTTTTAGTCCCCTTGTGTAAACTTGTGTTTCATTTAGACGCTGGCTCATGTAAAGGAACAGACCTATTTTTAGTTATGGAATTTTTTATGTTTCCGCAACATCTCTGAGACACTTTAGGCATGGCTGTTTCTTAAAAAGAGACAGCGGTTCCTTCATGTTTGCATGTCTATCAGTGAGTTTTGTCTGCTGGTACATATCTGTGTAGTGGAAAAGAAAATTAAGCTTTTCCAGTGCAGCATCTCTTTTTGCAGACATTTCACTTGTAGTGGTGTTTAAGCAGCTGTCATGGAAAATTAAGATAGACAGTGCTCTATTGTAACATCCACTTCTCTCTTTTTACCTAATTATTGGCTCAGAACATTTGATAATGTGTGACTGGGCTGGTAGGGACACGGGGTGGAGTTGCAGCTTGAGAATTTGATAACATTTTTTGACATAAAGCTGATTTAACATTTCCAGGTGGAGTTGGTGAACATTGGAGGAACTGACATCGTTGATGGGAATCACAAGCTGACGCTGGGATTGCTATGGAGCATTATTTTGCATTGGCAGGTGAGAAGGCTATTGTGAAATCCCTTCCAGGAATCATGTCCAGTCTTCTGGAACCTTCACAGAACTTCCTGTTAGTTTTTTTTGTTTGTTTTTTTTTCGAGTGGAAAATACTGCTTCTATTTTGAACTGATAAATAAGGGCAAGCCAGTGTTTGGTTTCCGATCCCGCTCTGTTGGCTGCAGCCCACAATACGTACCCTGGCTATGTGCTCAGTTGTACCCAGGCACTCGGGTCAGCACTAGTCTGCGAAAGCTTTCAGGCAAAAACATCATGTTTATACTCCTTCCTCAAGACTTTAGGCATTTCTGTTTGCATGTGCTTTTTAGTATCTCTGTAGCAATGCTGGGCTTGCTTCTCATATGCTGTTCTGCACATTCATTTTTCAGTCTTGTAGGCTGTAGCTTGAATCGTTCCCAATTTATCCACGTGCGTGAGGGGATTATTGAATTCACTAGGGGCAGCTTGGGTGGTTGCTTAGGCATAGTGCTCCAACAGCAATCTTCCAAACACTGTTCTTGTAGAAAACTGTACGTGTGTCCTCTTGTTAAGGTGTTCTTACTTGGTGGCATGAGGCAGCAGGGCATATTACAGCCTATGTGTAGCTTAGGCAGCCCTAAGGAAGAAGGGAGGTCTGTGACTTATGAGTAATGTGGGGGTTTATTTATCTAATTTATTATATGGAGCATTAATGGTTCTTGTAATCAGGAGAATGCAAAGAACTGTTTGTTCCGTCCCCAAATTTCATATAAGCAGTGAAAGTTTGGCTCATGACTCTTCATGGTAAAGAGCCTTTCTGGATTTGTGAAACAGCTTGGTTCAAAGGTTATGTGTGGAGAAAAAGTGGAAAATATATCTGTAAGCTGCAGTCGCTTCTGTTCTGCAGGTGAAGGATGTAATGAAGAACATCATGTCAGACCTGCAGCAGACCAATAGTGAGAAAATCCTGCTGAGCTGGGTTCGGCAGTGCACGAGGCCTTACAGCCAAGTCAACGTTCTCAACTTCACCACGAGCTGGGCAGACGGACTTGCTTTTAACGCTGTTGTCCACAGGCACAAGTAGGTGACAAATGTTGGCTTATCTTGCACCTAACGAAATGAGCAGCTTTTTCTCCCTGTCTTCGTGCTTGAACACTTGTTTCAGTGATTCATTTTTGTTGTGGTAGCAGCAATGGAAAAATATTTGCTAGAGGAGCAGTTCCTTGCAGATGACAGTCAAGTGCAACCGTGTTCCTACATGTCCACGTGCACACACGCTCGCTGAGGTTGATTTAAATCCCACTTAGTATGCCTTGAACAGCAAGTATGATGAATGGATCCTTTGGGATGGGTTGACCATCTCCTTCCCCCATACCTTCCTTTCCACTTCCTCCTAACCTCTCACTTCTGAAAAGGGAAAGATATCCACATCACTTTAGTATGGACATGAAGGGAAGCTTCGGGAAGAAAGAATATCAAAGACAGGCCCTGTAGCTCTTGTTTTTTGACTGTATGTTGCCTGAAAGACAATATATTAGCTCTTTCAGGAGATCGTGCATTGTGTTCAATGCTGCATGGAAGAATTAAAAGGTAATAGGATAATTAAAGGGTAAAGGGATACTTCAGGTATTTGTAGTGTATTTGGTTGTTTGTTCAGGATAAGAGCCAGGATGCAAGCTCACATCTTCTTTGGGAAGATCTTCTGTGTCCTTCCTGGTTTAGGAGAACTCTTTGCCAGTCTAAAGAAATCATCGTTACAGTCTCCTATGACACTTCCATGTCTTTTCTTCTACCTTCTCCCCCTGCTTTTTTTCCTTGGGAGGTGCTTCAGGGCAATCCATGGGCATATCCCAAACGGAGTCAGCTCCTTGCTTTGCAAGATTGTTTCTTACCCTAATCGACCATTTAAACATGTTAATGGCATGATAATGTATGGAATTTAACCAGGCCTCCTGGCCATGAGGTAGCTGCCATATTAAATGCTGTACATCATGCAGAATATACATACCCAGAAGCACAGGGTGTTTTTACTCAGCAGATACAAGAGCATTCACAAGAGTGTACGCTGGCTTTGAGCCTGCGCACCCTGCTCTCTAATCGACCATTTAAACATGTTAATGGCATGATAATGTATGGAATTTAACCAGGCCTCCTGGCCATGAGGTAGCTGCCATATTAAATGCTGTACATCATGCAGAATATACATACCCAGAAGCACAGGGTGTTTTTACTCAGCAGATACAAGAGCATTCACAAGAGTGTACGCTGGCTTTGAGCCTGCGCACCCTGCTCTAGAGCCCCTGCTGCATCCGTGCTGATCTGCCACGAACGGGGTCCCCACGGGGCTCGCTGCCTGCAGCCCTGCCCTGCCCTGCCGCCTCCGGGCGCCTTCCAGCCAGCAC